TCTCTCTCTCTCTCTCTCTCTCTCTCTCTCTCTCTCTCTCTCTCTCTCTCTCTCTGTCTTTTAAGTTTTTCAGTCGAAAAATGCTGTAACGCACGCTCACCTTAATTTAATATCTCGTTTAGCGCTCACTATTATCTCACTATAATCCGACAATCGACAACCTGTCTGCTACACGCGAAGCCGTAGCTGTCGGCTGAGCCTCGCCTATCTTCTAAGTTACTCCTGCTTATGTTGGAGGAACAAGGCTTGCGCGTTCGATCTTAGTTATAATACGACAATAAGAATATATCAATTATAATAATATTAATATAGCAATATATCTTCTTCTGAAATACTGATTCCACTAGTCTCTCTCTCTCTCTGTCCCTCTCTCTCTCAGGGCGGTTGCCTCCCTCGGATCGCGCGCGTCACGAATCTCAAAAGCACTGGATACATACACACACACACACCCTATTCGGCTAAACACTCCTGCCGTCCGCGAAACCTGAGGGAAGATCGCATCCCCCTGATGGCTGTCTTCTTCTAATATAGCGATATACACTTCACTTATATACTATAAATATATATTTCTTCACGTGGACGCAAAAACAACAGAAAGAAAGGAAAAAAAAGAACGAACGAAGACTGGCGCGAAAGTCGACGAGGGAGAGTGCGGCGACAGAACGATGGCGCGAGAAAAGGAATGAGAATCCAACGCGATAATGAACGCCGCGACGCGCACGCAGTACCGCGAGTAGGAGGAAACGAAAAAGAAGCGAACGCGAGCCGAGAAAGAGAGAGCTCCGAAACAAGACAAGAGAAGGGAAAGTAAAAGGGGAAACGAAAAATGGAGAGAACGAAAGAACAATTTCTCATTCTCTGAGATCGAGTTTGTGGGCTGAGAGCTGAACGTGAGCCGCGCACCGGCGAGATCGGAATCGTCGTCCTCGCTACCGATACTCCAGAGGACGTTCGCAGGAGGACGACGACAATGGCGACTCGCCGATTCGCGAGAAATGCGCGCAAAGCACGTGTCGCCCGAATCTGCCGAGAGCGCGCCGCGCGTTCTAGCAGAGTAAGCGGACGCGCGCGCGCGCGTCTTATTATCAAGGGCCGCGTGAGTCGCACGGCTCTACACACATACATGCGCACCTTTCCTTCGCGTTCTCTAAGGTAATTAAGTAAATACGCGTTAAAAGTAAGTAAGTAAGTAATAACGCGGTCACGCACGAGACGCGTCCCGTCTCTGCCTCTTGCGCGTTCTCGTGATCCGCACGTTTCTTCTTCGGCGCGAGAGAGAGACGCGCGTTCGCGCGCACGACGCCCAAGTAAATCGCGACTACGTCCGTGAAATAATACTAATTCTATAACTAATACAACTACCTAATACTATTACTATAATAATAATAATAATAATAATAATAATGATAATGATATCGGAATAACGCCGTTAGTAATTCGTAGTGATAATACACAAGCTGCGCTAAGCGTCTCGAGCGCGTAGCCTTCAGTCGGTAGTAGTGCGCGATATAGAGAGACGTACGTATGTCGAGGATGTGTGTATGTGTGTGTTTATACATATAATAATATTCAATAATATATGTATAATATATATTAGATATTTTTCTCAAACGTTCTCACTCATGTCCAATCACTAATCCATCGTCGGCCGATAGCTCGCACAAGACGAAACGATAAAAAAAAAAAACAAAGGAGAGAAAGAAGAAAACGGACGCGCGAACGAAAGGACGCGAGAAAAGACATCGCGAAAGAATTCGCGCGCGAAACGAAAGGAATCTCGTTTTTTGAAAGACGGTCGTTCCGCGAGAAACGTCCGCGCGAGACTGTATATATATTATATATATATATACAGTGAGTGTAAAAAGTATTTGTCCAAGCCTTTGTCAAGACAATCTCTGATGTACGAATATTTCTTACACTCACTGTATATACATATATATACATATATATATATATATATATATATACATATATATATATATATATATATATGTGTGTTATACATACGTGTATATATATATATAGAACAATAATAATTATTGACAATAATCGCGATAATAATTATGACAATAAAATAATAATAATGTTAAAAATTGTGATCAGATATACCTATTTAATAGAATATAATCATATAGTAAATAGAGTTAAATTAAGCAACAATGATCTATTATTTTTTCTTCTCTGTCTCTATCTCTCCCTCTTTCTAGCTCTCTCTTTCTTTCTCTATATATATATATCTATGTATATATCGCCTCGATATATCCCTATATAGTTAAATTATCAATCTTTTTGTTTTTTAAATTCCTCATTACGCTGCCGTCTCTACTATGTCCTATAATTTTTTATTACGTAATGTTCCTATCTTTAGTTATTATACTTTAAGATATGTATCGTCGTGTATAGGTGTGTATAGGTTTGCTCTATCTCATTTGTTCTTTCTCGTTTTCCCTCTCTCTTTCTTTCTCTCTCTCTCTCTCTCTCTCTCTCTCTCTCTCTCTCTCTCTGTATCATATCTTTAACAATACTTTGTCTTCCTTTATTCCCACGTTCGTTTTAATATCGCGGGGGTGAATAAGGGTTGCTGCCGGCGGATCGAAGCCGAGAGGGGTCAACAGACGATTTCTCGCGACGCGTTGCAGAGCACCTTCGTCTCCGCGAGATCGAGCGCGACCTTTTTGTTGCTTTGCCTTTTTACCACCGGCGCAAGCGAATCGACCCTTTCGCTCCCGCTGTCGTCGAGTCGCGGTGCCCGATTCGCGTTTGCCGAGTTTCATTTTGAAATCATCGTTCGGTCCTCCCGATACATCACTCGTCACCTCTATGTCGCGATGCGCGTTCTTCACCTCGCGAAAGTCATTTTCGCGCGAGGATGTCCCGTGTCATATACGCATCCATTGTGTATATTACGTGTGTGTATTTTTGCGTGTCTGTATATGTGTATGTGTGTGTGTGTGTATCTATGCGTCATTCCCTCGTATGTGTGTAAACGTGTGTGCATATTAGTCGTGTTTGCGGCCCGCGTCGCGGTGCCTCTTCGCTACTTACGCTTTCGCGTTTTTATTCTTCTTTTTTATTTCTCGATTAAGAAAATGGCAGTTATCGGTCACAGCCAATGGCTATATAATATTCATTAAAAGTTTTTACGCTTTAATATTTTACAATTATTAAATCTTAGACACGACACCTTATCAGTTAAATTACTCGTTATAGAACGCCTCTAAAACTAGATGCGCCACGTCCCTTTCGTTCATAATAATACCGGTCTGTGGTGTAGTAAATGCACATATGTATACATTTATATATATTTATATATGTGTGTGTGTGTGTAGGTGGGTGGGTGGATGGGTGTATGTGTTTACACGTATGTGATGCGTGTGTTTCACGGATGCGTGTCTCGACAACGTCGTCTCACAGCGTGCGAGGACGCGAATGCATCAAACGTACACTAAACTTGCGCAAGAAGAGAAGGCGCCCGTCGTCGGAGAAACGAGAGCGGATCCGAGCAAAGTCGTTCCAAAGAACTCACGGCGAATCGCACGAGCGCAAAAACATGGTTCTCCCCTCCCCCCCCCCTCTCTCTCTCTCTTCCTCTCCCTCTCTTCCTTCCTTCATTTCTCTTAGTGGCTATCATCGTTTGATAGCCGCGTAATGGTGCGATTTCCTCGACTCGTACTCTGACATCGTCGATGACGCTAAACTACCGCCTACACGCACGTACGCTGCACGCGCTCGACTTGTGTTTCTTTTGATTTACTTATGGCACTATATGTTCAATTACGCGGCGATAATGCGCGTTGATCACGCGAACTGTACCGTACCATCCTTGTCTCCTTGACACGGGCACGGTGGCGGAGCAACGCGACGATCACGATCGGATTCGCCGCGATGAAAGAGAAACCGGAAGATACTGTGTGAATCGTTTCCTTTTCTCCTTCCTCCCCCGCCCGTTTTGAGTCCCGATCGGAACCCGGGAATTCGTAAGCTCGCGCTCGATGACGTTTCGCGTGAGATCCGAGAGAGTGTGCTACGAAGGGATCGGGCAGGGAACGCGCAAACGACGGCTAAAGAGAGGAGAATGACAAACGCGAGACAACGATTGCGGACGTCAATGACGACCTCACGATGTCGGAACCTCGGCCAAAGTGAAGGCTGCCTCTAAAAGCGTTCGTACATCCGTGTGTATGTTGTGTGTATGTGTGTTTGTAATGCACGCGTTATCGGTCAGTGAATTCAGCAGAATTGTCCCAAAGTCTAGCGGAGGTTCTCGACGAGTTTCCTCTCTTCCATCCCCGCGAGAAACACCCCACCCTGTAGCCCGCCTTCTCGATATTCGAAAGAGCTCGACGGCACTCGCGAGAGAGTTATCGGGACCGGCGGTCACGAAATTGTCCTGAACGTGTGAGAGATCGAAAGCCATGCGGAAGACTGAGTTGACGGCTCTCGAAGGATCCCAAAACTCCCATGCGATAGGCAGTGGTGCACTCGCAAGGACGAAACGAGGGCCTCGAGCGGCGATCGAATCGTTGGAAGGCGCGCCCCGAGAGAGTTTCCACGACTTCCCTGATATATCCCGATCTTCGCCCTCTCCCCGCTCTGCCTACTCTGACGCCATTCAATGTCGCGATAACGCGAGGATCGCGTTGAGCAGGGTTGAGTTTCGCGCGATGCACTTCTCACCCGCGCCCTCGCTCGCACCCGGTGACGACTTCAACGAAGCCTCGGCGCGGGATCATCCGTCATCCCGGTCGTTTCGCGAGAGAAGAAAAAAACGTCGAGAAGAGCACGATCAGTCTCCCGTGTCCCCCTCTCTCACTTCGCAGCTCCCCCTCTCGCCGCGCTTTTCCCAGCGAGTTTTTGGCGTCGCGAGTTCCGAGTTCTGGCAACCACCCTAATGACACCTCTTCCCCTTTCTTATTCTCCCGACCAGGCTCTGTTGCCCCGTTGACTACGGCGTTTCTTTTTCCCTCTAATTTTTAAAATCCACGCGTTTCTTCCGTTTCCGGGAGGGGTTGTTCTCACGCTTCTCTCCCCTTTCTTCGTTTTAACGAAGAACAAATATGCGCGTTCGCGGACAATATCGGTGTGTGTCATGCTAGAATTCTCCCTCTCTCTCTTGCGCGCGTATGCGCGCGATTATATATATATATATACTATATTATATAATTTAAATATATAATATATTATTGTGTGTGATTTCTCTCTCCCTCTCTCTTACTTTATCCGTCCGCTGACCCGGTCGAAATATATGAACGCACAACGCGCAAGTGAAAAATCGGGAATGAGAATTCTCCCCGCTCTCTAAAGACACCTGGCTAAAAAGGGACTACATCTCCCCGCGCGTTTCTCCCTTTATTTGCCTCTCTTTCTTTTTCCGTCGCCTCCTTATTATTCTCGCCCTTCGTCGTCTACCGAATCCTTTCGCGCGCACGCGAAATCTACGATGGATTCAGACTTATCATAGCGAAGTTAATGAGAGATTACCTGACATAATCTACATAGATACGCACATGCGCGCCAGCCGCTCGGCACGGCGAGGCGCGTCTTCGTAACTCGAAACGCAGACGCTAAAGAGAGTACCTATAAATATATTTCATGTGTGTATATATATATAATATAATATATATCTGTGTTATGCTTCATCATACTTCATTTATGCATCTTTTTCTTTCTTTATACTTAACATAGAAAAAATATAGAATTTACTTTTTACCTCGAACTTAAATATAATAAACCTCTTTCTTTCTTTCTCATCGATTATAATATATAAATATACACTTTTGTGCATATATATATATATATGTGTGTGTGAGTATGTATATATATATATATATATATATATATATATATATACGCGTTCGTGTATGGTTGGTGCGCGGTGTAGTATGCTTCGTGTGTAAAAGTGGATGTATTGGGTGTACGTGTGACTCCGTTCGTATTCATGAGAGTGCTGGTATATCGAAATATATAGTAACAAATAATAATATACAAATATATCATCCGCGCGTCTTTCTTTCGCGCATCCTCTGACAGGCTCGTTGCGTACGCGAATCTATTTTTAGCGTACGTTTAACCGAGTGAGTGAAAGCGCGAGTCTTCGCTCTTCGCTGTCTCGCGGCCGCGAGCGCAGGAGCAAAGAGTCGCGGTGTATTATGTGATCACGGGGAAAAAATCACCGGGAGGAACTGGACTGGAGAAACACAAGACGACGCGGACAGCGAACGGAGATGCCATCTTCGCGACAAAAATCAAGAAAGAGTACAATGATAATAATAATGATGATGATGATGACAATAATAATATTAATAAGAGAAAAGGACGAGAGATAATAAAAAAAAGAGCGAGTCTTATATTCGGAAAAATCGAAAAAATATCTTCTCTCTCTCTCTCTCGTCTTCCGACGCCCACCGTCGCGCGCGCGATGGGCGATTTAGATATATATAATATATTTATATATATATTTATATATAATATATGTAAATATGTATTATATAATATATCTCGACTTGTGTTCGGAGCTGCGACTTGAGCATATCTTCGTTTAAAAAATGGCAACGATTGACAAGAACTCTCGACGATTAAAAAAATAGAAATGCAGACAACGACGAAGTGGGCAAATAGGGCGGGGTGGCTAAGGTTGTGGGACGAAAGGCAAGGTTAGGAAGGAGAGAGGGATTGCGCGGGTGCCGAGAAGAAGAAGGAAAACGGGATATATACGCGGAGTAATACAACAGACTTGATGTCGAAGAGCGATGGGAAAGACGGAAACACCAGGAACGCGGAAGCGGCTACCACCGTCGCTCCCGCGTCGACTGTTTCACGTTCGGCTTAACCGCATTTCGCTCTTCGGGATAAAGAATTCTCGGGGAGGGGGAGCGGAGGAGAGAATTCGTCCGTTGTCTCTCTTTCTCTCTCTCTCTCTCCCTCTCTCCCTGCGTTAGTCGCGGCGCCGCAAAAAAACAAAGCCCCGCGGAGGCCCCGGTTGGTTTGATTAGCTTCTTCCCCCTTTCTCGTCCTTCTTCGAAAACGAGATTACACGGAGAAACGGGCCGTAAAAAGAAACGCGGGGACATATAATATATACGCATGCACGCACGTATAGGCGCGCTCCCTCTCTCGCGCGAAGGACAAACGCGCGTTGTACACGCGGTTTTCAACCTCGCGAGGGGACACACCGCAGCGGGGGACCCTTACGATTCGAGCGCAACGCTCGTCCGCGAGAACGCACGAAGGAGGAAGGACGACGATGGGGTTCTGTGTCTGTGTGTCTCCGAACGTAACGAAAGAGAAAGAGATGTACATGTATGAGTGTGTGTATGTATGTATCTATGCGTATATGCACAGAGGGCTCGTCCTTCCTCCGGTCGTACGCGGTCCCGGTCCCGAAGAGGAAGCGGCTACGGTGACGTGAATGTAGAAGATAGATAGATAGATAGATAGATAGATAAATAGATAGATAGATAGATAGATTAGATAGATAGATAGATAGATGGAACGCGCGCGAAACGGATGTGTAACGAGAAGGGTGCGATCCATTAAACGCTGCAGATGCTTTGAAGCGCCATATGGACCGATCATGGCTTTTCTTTAAGCGCTCAAAACGTTTGCGGCATCTGATAGATCGCACCCGAAGACACGCGAATGACAATCGTCGATACACATCCACGCGGTCGCGTACACATATGTATACATACGTATAGATACATATACATTTGTGGATATGTACATACATACATATATATATACATACACGTAAGAGGATATATAGAGAGATATTAGATATTAAATGCAAAGGGTTAATAGCGATAATGCGATTACGCGCCTCTCCAATAAAAGAAAGGACACGCTACGCGCGTGTGTGTGTGTATGAGAGTGTGTATGTATATGTGAGCGTGTATTTAAAAATGTCGACCCCTACGTGAAACGAGTATCGCTTTTTTCTGTTATCTTTTTTTTTGTCCTTTTTTCCGACGATCGGGGTTTAGCGATCGCTCGATTATTACTAGTCGAAGAATACACTTACGAGAGCCGCCGGCGCATCGACCGACCTCGTTTCTAAAACGCTTGTTCTTCCTGCCTTGAGAGAGCGGACGCGCGGCCCCTCGACACGCTGTGTGCTCTATTCTTTATGCCATTTTGTTATTTATTTTGTATCTTTTCGCTTCGCGTTCTCACTGCTCGCAATTTTCCGTATTCTCTAAGCCGCGACGGATTCTCAAATATTATTTTCTGTATATCTTCCTTTCATTCTTTCAGGTTCTCGCTTTCTCTCTCACTTCGTTTACTTTTGCTCTCAAATGACGTTACGGCCCAGCAGACCACCCGCCGTCCCATCGGTGAAACGCGCGGAAAATACAAAATCTAACTTCTGTTTCGATAAAATATCATTCGCCGTTTGTGTTCCCTCATTCATTCGTCGCATTTTTTCTCACATTCTCCCTTGTACACACACATGCTTCACAAATACCTTCCAACATACGCAATATACACACATATATATATATATATATGTATATATGTATGTTTCATATATATATGTATATATGTAATTTTTAAATTATTATTTCAATTACTATATCGCTTATATAAAGATATTGTTTAAGATAATACTCTCTAGTGGCGAGGGAAGCCGGGTGGAACAAACGCGCCGTCCGCGCAATATCACTACATGATTTCGTGGCGAATCGAGGGGCCCGTGACCCTCTTCTTCTCCCTCTCTTTTTCACGTGTAGGATGTCTGTGCGAGATCATTTATCAGTGTTTCTTTCCGTATGCATATGTATCTGTTTGTGTATGTGTATGCGCCCGTCAGAGTAAGAATGTTGCGACGCATGTACGTGTTTGTAATTCTCGGTAATCTTCACTGTCGCACTCGCAGGTTCGTCGAGTCCGTAATTGTACACTCGGCAACGGAAAACCTCCTCCTGGATCGATGATGAGAACTTAACACTTTCTAGATGCGTTCCAAACAAACGCTGAGATCAAGACGTACCTATGTTTTTTGTTATTCCCTCGTGTGAGGAAAGCTTCCAAATGAAGAGAGACCCATGGAAATATTCTTATGGTTGCCCAGTGCGCAATCTTGACGAAATTATCGAGATGATCCTCTCTTTGTCCGGCCCTTTTGATACAAAATTAAAAATTGCATTAAAATAAAAATAAAAAAAACGTCAGCTTCGTATCTTCTCCCGTCATTGGACTAAAAATGAATCGATCGCGAGTGTATGTACGTATGTGTAGGAGTGTGTGTGTATACGTATGTACACGTTTTGGCTGGCAAATACGAGCGTAAGCATGCTTTGACCGAATATATGTGTGTATATATATACATATATATGCATATATATATATATATATATATGTGTGTATATATGTATATGTATATATACATATATATATATACGAAGCTTAGGGAAGCGATAAAAAAAGCGAAAAAAAAATCGAAAAGATACAAATCTTTGGACATGATTTGAACGCGGTTCATTCACTCAGTCGTAGTTATTACTAAGAAAGACCGAAAGAAAGAAAATAAAACAAATTAACAAGAGAGAAAAAGGAATATATCTCGCGAAAGCTCTAATATTCATGCTAACAAGCAATAGCAGCAGCCTCCGGTTCCCAGCGAACGTTCGACCAAGAGAAATCTCAGGAACGAGCGGAGAATTCTTTACATTTTCGTTCTCTTCCTGTTCTCTTTGTCTCAATGCGAAAGAACTGCGCATCGTGTTGTCGAGTGTAAAGTCAGGAAGGCGAGGCCGGTCGGTCCGCGGACTCGATCGATCCATGTTTTCGGACCGTTAGCCTCCGGGGTTAGCGGAGAAAGAAAAGTAGCGTCTCGGTAATCATCAGTCTCGCTACTAAATACATATTTATATATCAGTCGAATCGTCGCAGCGTCGATCCTTTGCGGGCGATAAAGAGGCTCTCTTGTTTTCTGTTTATGTGTTTTCTTTCTTTTTCCTTTTTTTCCCTTTTAATCTTCGCGTCAGTCCGGACGACAGTGCGATCGAGTACTACTCGCGAGATGCACGGAGAGTACTCTACGCGCTGTCTCTCATATATTTAAATATATATAAATATATATGTATAATGTGTATATACATATATATGTATATATGTGTGTGCCTCGAGAAAGCTTAGTACTCGACGAGCCGCGAGCCTAATCTACGCAAGCGTCAAGGGGCAGGGGGAGGTAGGTGGGGGTTGAGAGGAACGAGCGGGGTGGATGCGGGGGCGAAAAGGAGAAAACGGGGGGAATTGGGAGATACAGAAGTAGTGTGGAGGCGTTGGGGGAGGGAAGCGAGATGACGGTGGGGTGAGACAATGTTTTCATCTCTATCCCTCTTCCTAAATATATATCTCGTAGAACTTAAAAGCTGGCTTCGTTGTATCCGGTCAGCGGGAACGACGGACTCGAGCGACCGTATGGGCGTCGAGGCATTCCCGTCGCGTGAAAGAGATTATATTGGCAGCCGTGGAATTGAGACATTGTGCGCGTCCGGTCCTCTGACGACGGCGGCATCACACATGCGGGTGAATGACGACGACCACGACGACGACGATGCTGACAACGCTGACGATGACGGGAACGACGACGACGACGACGACGACGCCAATGTAATAACGACGACGACGACGACGACGACGACGACGACGACGACGACGA